TTGGATGTAGGGGTGGCAACGTACTTGCAATGAAATTTTACCTCATCTCTGGAGGATGTTGGAGGCAAGTTCCTCAGAGGATTATTCGGTAGCAATTCTTACGTTAGTTGGTCAACTGGGAAGGTATGAGCCTTTGGTGCTTTACAATCTCCATCCATGTATTTGGCAGTTGCTGAACTTTAATCCTTTTTTGACAATTGTTTGCTGAACTATTTTAATTGCATTTTTTTACTTATGTTTTCTATTATTTAATTACTTCTTATGCCCCTTAATTAGTGGTTTGTGGTTTGAGTAACTAATGACAAATAAGGGTGTAATAGAAGCTTTGAAGAGACTGAGAGAACATGTTAATTACCATATAGCAATATTGGGCTTTTCTCATTTTATGAATCTTTGCTGTCTTTTCAAATATTATATTGTTCGTACCTTGGTTTCCCTTTAGCCCTTGAAATTTGTCTTTGAGATGTACTAAACGTGCTAGCCGTTATGAACATTCTAAATCCAGCCCTGACAAAATGACAAAATTAGCACCTTAGGCTGTTAGGAGACATGTGAATCCGTATGTCAAAAGTGTAGTCCAATGCAGAAACCCCCAGAAAATTCCATCCAAATTTCCTACAATGTTCTCAGAGGACCAAAAAGAATATGTGTTTGAGATAGAAAGAGAGGGGGAGAGGGAAGGGGGGGGGGCGGGGGTGTGTGGGGGAGAAAGATATAGCTTTGAGAGATAGTAGCGAATCTCATTTGTTAGTGAGAGAGAAAGCCTTCAGAAATGAAAGCAATTTTCATTTGTTCCTACTGTTTGCTGTATCGATGTGCAGGCTTGGAGTTGATGCACACGGAAGCGAAGAGAGCACCATCTCACAACTAAGGTGCAAACTTTCTGAGTATTTGAATCTCCAAACCTCGCAGAAAGGAAGTTTTTTTACCCAATTTGCTGCTGCTGAAGCTTTAGTTAATATTTTGCCATTAAAGTTTGAAGAATGTGTGCATGGAAATTGTGAGCTTATGGTCGGTCTGGATCTTCTTTCTCCCCTCAAAAGTTTAAGGGAGTGGTTCTTTCAGGTCAGCGAAGATCAGAGAGCCTTGTTACTCCACCATTTCCGTGAGTGTGCAGATCATTAATGCCTCTATTGATGAATTCAGGTTTTGATTTTCTTTAGATGCGGCAATTTTAAGTTTCTGTTTCGTGAGACATTCGCTGTATTTTTCAAGCTGCATTGCTTGAACGTTTTGCTGGTTTTGGGGGGGAAATCGGTTGAGCTTCAGTCATGCTAGTGCACTGTCACATTGTGAATCAATGTTAAGCAATTTTGATCTGCTGCTTTTGTTAATGGATATCGAGTGGCAATTGAAACTTTTCTGTGATTTATTTTTGGTAGAAAGAGACAGAGAGAGAGGGAGTGTCATTTATGGATGGGTAACTCGTATCACGGAGACGGGACATTTTTTAAATCTTATCATCTCGGATCCCCTGACCATGTTTAAAATATTTGACTAGACTTCATCAGTGCAGTGCCATGTGGTTAGGTTTGAAGAAACAGTGATCCCTCATTGCCTATGCTTTTGTTTGCAGCGTTTAATGCTGGTTATGCAAGAAGAAATGTCCAGGTTTTTTCATAAAAGAAACCCAACAAAAAGTTTTGCAAACAGGAAGAAGCGTAAACAGTATTTCATAAAGTGGATTGGTGGGCTTAAGTGTTCACTGGCTGAACGAACATGGATTTTTTATCCGGCTGCTTTAGATCCAGTTCAAATTGAAAAAAGAAACATGAAAAAAGAAAAGAGAGTATAAAATAAGATTATTTACCTTTGATACAAAGTGGTCACATTAATTTTGATTATTGGATGTAATATTAGATGGCTACAATTATTCCATTAACCAAGCTCAAACTTCAAAAGAAATTTTCTCTAACTTGTGACATTCAAATTATCAAATTTTACATCAAATGGTTGTAAGGAATTGTGACTATTTTGTATCAAAGGTAATTGGTCTCATTGTATACAATCTCAAGAACAACAGTGAGGGTTAAGTAAGTATGAGATTTATTGCATTGGAATGGTACCTTGCCGATTTGGAATGGAACAGAGTGAATCGGGTAATCCGATATGCTTTTTAGAAGATTCACCAATCCGATATGCTTTTTAGAACACTAAGTCCAGTTATCACTGCACAAGCAAGACTGGAGAGCCAACAATTTAAGGCCCACATCAAATGCAAAACTCTTTAGGGGTGCATTATAGATCCAAATTAATATGAGGTAGCAATATGGGTAGAAATTTCTTAGAAGGCAGAGAGTTGAGAGCAAGTTATTATGAGGTAGCAATATGGATAGAAATTTCTCAAAGCATAGAGTAGACAGCAAATTACAGGGATGGAAATTCACTAGGAACAATTGATCCATGCGGGCTAGACCACATTAGTTAGTCCTTATAAAAACAATTGTAAATGTTTTCTTAATGTAATTGTTATTTCTAGTTTCAAATTTTATTTATTTATTCCGATTTTTGATTTCCATGTTAAAGATTTTATATTTTCTAAAAACTTAGGATCACATTATATTTAAAAAAGATATTTATTGCCAAGCCCTTATTTCTACATGTGCGAATCACATCCATTCACTAGCAGATAGGGCTGCCACTGGGCTGGTCCCAAAAAAGCCCAAAAATTGTTTGGCCCGGTACGGTAAGGCACCGGCCCGAAAATTGCAGGTGAAGAGCCCGGTCCGGCTTGTAAGAACTATTGGGTTGGGCCTGAGCTGCCCCAAAGAAATGCCCCGCCTGGTACAATTAGAACCTTGTTTTTTTAATAAAAAAAATCTCTTTTCAAACTTTTCTTGTTTGTAGTAAGCCAAAAAAAATAATATTATACATAGTATATTAAGTGCAAATAAGTTAGCGTACTCCTAATAAGTAATAAGATAAATTGTTGCCTTATCCATTCTATACTTGGATAACCAAGAGGTAGAATACATCGATTTTGTAAAAAGGTGCGCCATGAAAGTCAAGTAGAAACCATGAAACGAATTTTCTCTAAAAGGCAATTACCTCCTTATTGATAGTTGAGCAATGTTTTATGAAAACCCATGAAATGGATTCTCCTAGAGAAATCCACCCAATTCATTGCGGTGAGTCACGAAATTTGAGAATATTTTTTTTGAAATTTTGTGTCCAATCAATAACCCCATACAACCACGTTATTTTGAAACTAAAGGGACAAAAATGATAATGACTTTAATATATAAAAGGTAAATTATCTTTTTATAGACAATCCTTAGTCTTTGTTATGATATCTCTCTATGGACAATCCCCAGTCTTTATTATGACACACCTTTCCTAGCTAATTTTTCATCAAATATTTGGTGATCCATCCAAAATAGTGAAAGCAATACTGTTTAGGACAATTGAACTAGTACTGCCTCGCATGTATTGGGTGGATTACTGAGAGAGAGACATAGTCCCCTGGTTTTTATGAAGTGGGAATGAGGGACCACCACATATAGCAACATACACTTGTCATTTTTCAACACGTAGAGTGCCAACTCTTTGAACTATGATTTTTCTTTTATAAAGAGTCGATGATTGCTTTATTGATTATGGAAAATTGCTTCGGTTCTATTGCTGTACAGCCATCTAGTGTTAAAAACATCGGCCAGTCGGTTGAACCGGTCGCACCAGTTCCGAGACAAACATGCTAAAATCAGGAAGTAGGGTTCATTGACTGGGCCTATTCTAAGAAAATGACAGCAAGTGTAAACGAAGTTTAAGATGCTTTGACAATGTTTAGGATCCTCAAATGATTCCAAAGAAAAACATTTGTTACCTAAAAACATTACCAAATATGCTTTTGGGGTGGCCCGGTCTGTGCCCCGATTCAGTAAGGAATTTGGATCGGTCGCCCACGTGTTTTAATTTGAATAGGAAAATATCCGGTACGTGCCAATTTTTCAAACAAGCACCTCAAATATGTTCTATTCTTATACATGATTAAAAAGTAATAGAGGATGTCTTTATGTAGAAACAAAAAGCAATTAAAACAAAAAAAAGAGAAATAAATACAAAAGAAAGAGAAGATCAACTACAATGCAAAGATATACGTGGTTCGGCAACATGCCTACGTCCACAGGAGATGAGAGCTTCTTTACTGGCAATAAAGAATAGGGTTACAATAGCTATCTTCCTCACACCTCTTTGTTCTCTCTGATTATAAAGCAATCTGTGTTTTTCTTTTAACCCTAAAAAACCCCATCGCAACTATATATATCGAGTCCTAGATAGATGATATAAATTACCGAAATGCCCATGTACAGATACATAACGAATCCGGGCCTTAAACCCTTTGGGCATTCGGCCCTTCGGACTTTAACGGCCTTCCAAAATCATTATTTTGACTCCACTTTGACATATCTATTTTCTCCTAATATAATACATCAATCTTCAACGCTACTCATTTTTATAAGATCCGTAACTTTCATGGGATATTGGTTGGATTCTTAGTTGTATTTTATGCACCAAATGTTTCTGATGGATTATTGTAGATTTCTCTCAATATTGAAATAAACAAGAAAGGTCAGTGGACTCTATAATAATACAAAATAGCCCCTATCCAGCCCTAAAGAATGTCACGTCACAATTATTGAAGGGCGCCTCTAACTACTAATTCAAACAGTTACTTGTTAGTATAATAATCTAATTAATGTAGTAAACACTAATCGAGAGCTGATTAGTGTAGCGGATCTCAAATAGTTTGGACAAGACAACAAATCTTAATCAAAATCTGATTAATATAGCAACCCTAAGTAGCTTGGATGAGGCTCTGATGATAATATAACAAATGTCAAAAGATTGTATACTCCCTCGAGAGCATATTTTAAATTTGTTCTCTCAAGTAACTGCCATGACTTAGTGATTGGCCTTGAGAAAATAATAAAAGGAAATTATAAATCTATATATGCTCTTGAAAAAATAATGCCTCAAGATTGAACTGAGATCGTCCAATTTTTAGACAATCAAATCCAAGTGTTTAGGAGCCCAAGATCCAACGTTTTATCAAAATACTCATCTCATGGTTTCAAATTGAATTCCACATTTCAGATTAAGAAAATACTCCTGAATTGGCCGTTTGTTTGATGGAGTAGATGTACAACGTGGTCCAGCAAGAGCACCCTTCATGAGCTCCTCATCATTTTCCCTCGTCCCGCCGTTTTTTCTACAGTTTTATCAGTACTGCAAATGGTGCCAAAGAAGGAAGTCAGCTACTCATTTTTCACATTCTCCTCATTATGGAGTATTATATGTTTTGCTTTCACATACAAAATTAATTCACATTTAAAACCTTTTGAGCAATGGAAAAGTGATCCAATCAGTCTAATTAGTCACATGGAAATCCACCCTATGATCCTGATAACTGTGATTTGTCTCAGGAGATTGTGAACGGAGAGAGAGAGGGACCCATAGACCATAATACATTTCATGTCATTCTTTGTGGTCCCTCTAACCCCTCATAAACCTTAACAACAATGTTTTTCCATAACCGTGAGGATTACTTACTGCATTCATTTTGATATCACTTTATAACATCCAAAAAATGGCACCTATGATTACCTACCATTTTTCATTAGTGAAATTATTTTTTTATTTTTCAGGTACTTAGGTCGGCAAAATTGTTGACCGGTTAGCGGGTCACCATGCAACTAAAAAAATACAAAATTAAATGAATAAAAATAATATGCGGATTGAATAGAAATTACATACCTCTCACACTGGTTCGTCAATCTATGTGGTTTCGGTTCTTTCACATATGTACGTACTTATTTTTGAATCACAAGAACCAAGGAACGTCTGCACAATGTAACACGTAATGAATTTTTTTAATTTTTTTTTATGTATAATTTTTAGATTTTAGGTTTTTGGGTTATTTTGGTCTTCTATTTTTTTTTTTAAGGTTTTTGGGTTATTAATGGTCTTTTAATTTTTTTTAATGTTACAAGCATCTACTGATCCAATTATGTAGTGTTTGAATCGAGTGGAGTAAACATTTTAGAAACTAGAAAAATACCTGATAGAATGTAATGGTAGAATACCACAATAAGTTGTTTTACCGCTCCTACGGGATCTACTTAGCAGATTGATGTAATTTTGGTACTAAAAACCCTAAAACAAATAAATATTTAATGTATTACAAAGTCTCTCCAAATGGTGCATAGTGTAATATGCTTTTATTTTTTAGTAAATTTATCAAATCGTATTGAGAATATCTATTGTTCCGCATTTCACCCATTTATTAAAGGGAAAAGTTTATATAGAGCCGAGGCTCTAAACAATCATATTCGAGCCTACCTCAAAAATTTCACTATGAAGATGTTGTTTTGATGCCCAAATATCTTTAAATTGATCATCTCGACATCAAGATGCATGGACATGAGAAAAAATTGGATTTCGAGTTTTAAAAATAGTGTATTTTGTAACGCATTTTTTGACCGTCAATTTTCAAGATTTTCATAGATATGTTGATCTACACTATTTTTGAAGCTTTAAACTTTATAAATAATATAAAAATATATTTTAAGGCTATTACAAAGATTTTCGGTAGTGAAATCACATTTCTAGACACTATTTGAAGTTAGGCTCCAATTTGATTGTTTAGAGCCTAGGCTCTATACAAACCACACCCTTTATTAAATGCACCTAAATTATCAACCTTCATGACTCATTATGTTTTCTTTGAAGGTCCTTTTGAAATTAAATTAACAGAAATAAACGAGATGTTAAATAGTTCATCTCTTGAGTACTTTTTGATAAATTTTCTTTTTTTAAAAAAGAAACTCGGTAAATGTTGTGGATTTAGTTTTTAAAGTTGAAAAAAGTTTATATAAGGTTACAACTTTAAAATGTAGAATTGAGGTGCACCTAAACAATCCATCATATAAGGTTTATTTTGATGTTGAAAACCCTGTAATTGATCATCTTGACATCGATGTGTATGAATATGAAAAGAAAAAAATATTTTCATTTCTAAAAACAATGTATCTTGCAACACATTATGTGTATATAGATCTACTTGATTGAACTATTTTTAGAGTTTAAGATTTTATAATTAGAGATAAAAATAGATTCTTATACCATCCTAAGAATATTTGACACCAAAATTATACCACCCTTTGGAGGTACATATTATGTTTGTGTATAATGACTTTTCATGGCACTACTTTTTCTTTTTATGAAGCAGGATTCTTTTATTTGACCCATGCCTTGCTTCAATAGATATGGACGACTCCTTTCTCCTCCTTGGGTGTTAAACTAAGGAGGATTTCTGTCGCAGCCGTTTTATGAAACTTGTGGAGGGAGCGAAATCTGAGGACCTTTGAAGGCCGTAATGGGGATACGCTGTACCGCTCGCGGCATCCTAGCGGTACGTTGTAACATGGGCTTATTTGACTCTATCCCTTAAACCAGTGCCCAAGGATCTCTTCTTCATTCATTACTCATACTCGTTCAAACTATCCATCCTTTCATGTTTTTTGTCTGGAAATCGCCCCTGGTTGGATGGGTAAATCTTAGTTTTAACAGTAGTGTGAAGGGTCAGATTGTTAGATATGAAAGCCTTCTCAGAGATCATCTGGGATCAATGATCTGATTGGATGGGTAAAGCTTAATTTTAACAGTAGTGTGAAGGGTCAGATTGCTCGATATGGAGGCCTTCTCAAAGATTATCTGGGATCAATGATCTGAATTTATGTGATGTAACCTTCACTACTTAGCGACCATCCTCGCAGCGAGAAAATAATACAGGAAATTATAAACCTATGTATACGTTTGGAAATATAATACCTCAAGATTGAACATAGATCATCTAATTTTCAAGCAATCAAATCTAAGTGTTTAGGAACTCAAGATCTGCCTGAGGGAGTAGATATACAACATGGTCCCGCAAGAGCACCGTTTGTGACCTCCTCACCATTCTCCCTGTTGGCCCACCGTTTTTCACAGTTGTATCAAAAATGCAAAAGGTCCACATGGGAGAAGTCAGCAACTCGTTTTTCACATTCATAGTCCCCCTCATTATAGAGTATTAGACGTTTTGCTTTAACATAAAAAAATAAAATCACACTTCAAAACTTTTTGGGCAATGGGAAAGTGATCCAAATTTGAATATGGATCTGGATCAGTTCCAATTTTTAAAATATAGCATAAAACTTAAATTAATTATATATACAATATAAATTAATAAATATATAAATTATAACATATATATATATATATATATATATATATAATTATATATATTAGTTTAAAAGCCATATCGGATCCGGATGGGATCCACCTATACTCGAATCCGACCCAAATTACTAGTCTCATCCTAGTCTCAATTACACTATAAGGACCCGGGTATGTAAGAATGTCTCTATTTAATCCTAAAATGTTATTATTTGGGACCCGATTTTTATGAGCCCCCGACTCATACTATTTTCATGTGGGCTCTCTTGAACACCCATTATTTGTAAAGATCTAGATCCAAATTTATAGTGATCCATGATCTACACTATGGTGATCATGAATATAGAAAATAAAATAAAATTTTAAAACATTTCTATTAGAATATCCTATCCATTGGAGAGGAATCTTTAGTTGTGTTAAAGATGGACATTTGTGATTGTGCGGGTTATGGAGTCTGCCGACTCACAAAACATTTTTCTATTATTTTTAGGCACATACAATGGAAGCCAAAAGGTTATATGCTCAAGCGGGAGCATATGCAGATTCACCCCCAGTTAATTTGGGGATGTAAACTCCTCAACCTAGCGACCAACTTGAATAAAAATGTGAAAAATATTATACACCACAAATTTGCCAAAAAAAAAATAAGGGTGCAGTTTCTATAAGGTTGCAACTTTAAACAATCCAATTAAACTGCAATGCCAAATTCTATCATAACATGTAATTTTGGTGTAAAACATTCTTAGGATTATCCCAAAATCTATTTTTATATCTAATAATAAAATTTTAAACCCCAAAAATTATTAAAATCAAGTAGATCTATACACATGAATATCTTGAAAATGAACGGTCTAGATAATATATTGCAAAATGCACTATTTTTGGAACTCAATTTTTTTAAAATTTTTTTATACATCTCGATGTCCAGATGATCAATTAGAAGAGGGTTTTTCAACATTAAAACAATATTTTTTGATAGATTTTTGAGGTGCATATTTAATTATATATTTTAAGGTTGCAACTTTATATAAACTTTTTCCAAAACATAATGCCTAAGATGGAATAAAGGCCATCCAATTTTTCAATGGCTAGATCTCAGTATCTCGGACTCGGAAGACTTCTTCCTTTCTGGTAATAACTATCTGGTATTTCTAACGTACATTCCGAAATTTCACGGCAAAAATATTCTTCCGAGTACGTATTCTGCATGAGGGAGTAGATGTACAATGTGCTCCAACAACATGCTATGAGGGTCCATGTAGACATGCGTTTGATTTTTTTCATATCAAACTCTAGTTGAGGAGGAGATTATATACATCTATAGTGCAATAGGGAGAATGGTAGAGGATTTTAACATTCAACTGAAATTTATCAAATGGCACCCAAGTCGTCAACAATTTATATTGGGTTAACGAAAGATGTATCTCAAAAATCCATCGGAAAAGGGTGTTTTAACGTTTAAAAATCCTCTAATTGATTATCTTTGACATTGAGACGTATGAATATGGAGAAAAAAGAAGAAGAAGAGATTTTGAAATCGAGAAATAATGCATATTGCAACATTGCAACACATTATCTAGACTATCCATTTTCAAGATTTTCATATGTTTATAGATCTACTTTATTTAAACCATTTTTAGAGTTTAAAATTTTATAAAAAAATAAATTACAGATAATTTTAATAATGTTTTACACCAAAATTATATAAAATTTGGTGATACACCGTAATTGGATTGTTTAAGGTTCCAAGCTTACAGAAACCACACCCTTTCACGATTTGTCTTTTGTAAGTATTCCACATCATTGTCGTGTGGGATTTGTTTGGATTTTAAAATTCAATTAGAATATATGGTGATCTCTTATGCATATTTTAATAAACTTCTCTTTTCTTATGTATATTTTAATAAATAATTGAACCTTTCAAGGATATGAAATGGAGTTTTTAATTTAAATTTCCACATGGTAAATGAGGTAATGAACTGAATAAAGAGAGCGAATCTTGGCGAACGATTTCAGTAGTAAAGTAAGCCAGCCATGGATTTGATCTCTGGAGATGCCATGGAATTCATCTCTGGGGATGAGCAGCTGTTTTCCCCATTCTTTCTCCCCAATCTCCAAACACAAGATGGCATCCCCACCGATCTTGATGCACCCCCTGCACCCGAAAGTGCTGCGGCCAATCCGCCGGGACATCCGGCCCCGGCTGGTGGATGCCGAAAAATTCCCCGCGGGGAAGTTGAGAGGCAGCGGCGCAGCGAAATGGCTGCCCTCTGCGTTTCTCTTAGATCACTCCTTCCCATTGAGTATCTCAGGGTAATTCTTCCCCTATACTCTCTCATGTCTCTCTCTCTCTCTCTCTGTCTCAATTTTGGTTCTCTTCGGTTGTGATTCGGAGTCGAACAAACCCATTCTCTGCTTTGGTTTTCATTTAGGGTGCTAATATATTGGTGTGTTAGGGGAAGCGGTCGACATCGGACCAGATGAACCAGGCAGCAAGCTACATTACCCACCTGCAGAAGAAGATCGAGGAGCTGGTCGAAGTGAGGGACAATCTGAAAAGGGCTTGCAAGTGCGGGTTTAAAATGTCGCCCGACCCTGGCCGCGGTGTCATGGAGCAGTTAGAGGTGAGGGAGTGCGGAGAAGGGGTGGAGGTGGTGATGGGAGGGCCGAGGGGTGCAGCCTGCGCGTCTCGTGTGGTGGGTGCGATTGAAGAGGAATCGATGGGGTTGGAGGTGGTGTCTTATGTGTATACGACGACCGGGGATCGGTCATTCGACGTTGTGAAGTCGAGGAGGAGTGCCAGAGGTGGTGGTGCAACGGCTGATATCAGAAAGATCAAAAGGCAGTTGGTGCAGGCCCTTCAGCCCCACCATTGATCTCTCTCTCTCAAACCTCTTTGTCGCTTAAGAGTGAGGGCAAAGGATAGAAACCAAACCTGGGCTTGTGAATGCATACTGCTCTACAATCTCTTTCTCCAGTGTTACTACAATCTTTGCTCAAATTTTACCTTTGGAATGTATGCACTAAAAAAAAAACATTACTAGATTCTATTGTTAAGACATTGTATTTTTTACTTAGGCTGTCCTTTTTGTAGAGGGTCAATTAGACTATTTTGCCCCTTTGTTAAAAATAAAATAAATTCCTAGTCTCATTTTTCTCAACTTGCATAATTTTGTTTTTAAATGACAGGTAAATCACTCTATATATCTATCTTTTTATAAAAATAGATATATTTCCATTTTAGGAATATATAGATTTTTTTTTGGTAGAGCGAGGGCCTCGGCGAGGCCTTTGTGGCTCATTGGGCTAAACTGGCCCATATACGCCAAAACATGTGATTTGTATCCAAAGGGAAATATAAATAAAAAATAAATTTTTTTTTTTTTTTGGATTATGGAATTGCTTAGCATAATTGTTTTTAGTTTTAGCTGGATTCGTCCTTCCAATCGGATGAGTATGAGTAAGGGATCCATGGATGAAGATACAAAAATCTATTTATAATCGTAACTAAATCTTCAATTTTTGTAAAAGAGAGATTGAAGCCAAATAGCTATTCAATGACGACCTTAGTTTACTAGGGGCATCGGCATGGAGTTTTGGCTCGGTGGAAATAAAATCTTTTCCTCAAGATTCTTACGAATAGAAATAGGGAACGAAGTAACTAGAAGTATTTGTTCAAATCCCTCTTTCTTCTAGAGGGATCATCTAGAAAGCGAGTATCTTTGGACACATTCATACAGAAAAGCTGACATAGATGTTATGGATTGAATAA